CGGCGCCGCGCGCCCCAGGCAGCGCCTGGTCCGTGGCCGACATCCTGACGGAGGACGACGAGCAGGACCGAGTGCCGCTGCAGAAGCTCGAGCTCCTGGGTAAGCTCCCGCAACGCGGCGTTTCCTGGGGGGCATCAAGCAGGCTGGGGAGCAGGAATTCCCGTTAGTCCCTGTGTTCGGAGTGCACAGCCCCTTGCAAGGCTGTATGGCTGTCGGATAACCAGGTTTGATTTTTTGGTAAAACAAGAGTGTTTGGGTTTGGACTATGTTTGTAACATCGCAGGCTAGCAGTGTTTGTCTGTTTTTCAGGGGAATCGGAGGAGCTAAGAGGCTTGCTCCTGAACCCGCACCTCCAGCAGCTACTGCTAACAATAGATAAAGCAGAAGAAAAAAGCGCTCTCATGAAAAAGTACATGCAGGAGCCGTTATTCGTTGAGTTTGCAGACTGCTGTTTGAGAATTGTGGAACCCCCAGAGAAGGAGAACATTCTTCCTGAGTGAGCTACTTGGGGAACGTTTTTCTTTCCCTGAAGCTTTTTCCTCTGAGAGAAGAGATCCTGCAGCACCACGAGCCACTGGGGTACATCATCCTATATTTCCTCTAGCTTTGGTCACATCTTGCTCATGGATCTCTGTTCTCTAAATTTCATTTTACTGCTGGTAGTCAGTGACACAGGCAGTCAAGGACAGTGTTGGAAAGGAGAGATTTCTGAATGCTACGGATTAAACTCTATATCCTGTGGACTTGATTTCTGTTGGTACAAAAATCCTGTCAACCATAGGAAATGCTCCTTCTAATAAAAAGTTAAGTATGTTCTCATTTATCTTAATCCACAAACAAATCTTAAATGTTCTTGTTAACTAAGTCATGCTGGGGTCAGATGCATTTTCAAGATATTTAATGGTTTTAATTAAAAGTTGTGTACACAGATGAACTAAATCTCTTTGAGTTTCCTTTTGTTGCTCACATGGATCTGTTTAAAGCTCCTCTGATGAGAACAGAGAACCTTAGGGTGTTGGCAGATTTGATGTTAGTGACTAGCTAGTTCTAGAAATCCGTGGCAGTTGTGAGAGTAGATAGATTTTGGTCCCATAGATTAAAAAAACAAAAAAACTCACTGAGTACAATTTCACTTTTACCTGAGACATCTGCCTGAAGTGTTATATTTGACTGCTAGTCACCTTCTCAGTCACTGTGAAGGCATTAGAATATTATCAAACACGAGTGTATTCAGTCAGAACAGTTGTTCGTAGCTCCTGATGAGAATCTTGCAGAAAACAAGTGCGTTCATTTTTGCTATCTTATTACCAGCCTCTTGCTTCTCCATGTAGTGCTAAAAGGTTCTTTTCAAGTATATGTTGTTCAAAGTATTTGATCTCTTTTATGTCAAGTGTTCTCATAGTGCTGACATTTCCTCTAATATGCGCATATATGTGAGAAGAGGAATGCCCCCCACTAGCTTGTTTTAAATTTTAAGGATATGTTATGATACATAGGATGCATGACTATAAAAAGCTCTGAGGTAGCAGCAGATATGGACGTTGATTAAAGTATTTGAAAGCAGCAGCTTGCAGGCAGTCCTTCCCTGAAGAGTACAGTACATGAAGATGGCCAAAGCTTATGTGGGAAGGAGTTTTTTTCTGTCCAATAAAATTTGGTTAAATCCAGAGATGGAATACGCATCCGTATGGGGACTGACATTTGCGTAATGCAGGGGAGACTTCTTGCAGTGAAACTTAACAGAGCCCTAGAAGAAAGAGAGAGAGAGCTCAGTTAGTGTTCTGTCAGCTTTGAGCTAGATGTTGCCCTTCATGCTCAGTAGTGCTCCAATGTAGAGGCAGCCTTTGGACACGGATCGGGATAGGGGAAGCCTTCTAGGACAGTGAGTAGCAAGTGGTTACCTGTGGGAGAGCTCTAATGGAAGTGATGCCACAACCAAAGAAGCTGTTTTCTGCCTTGCAGCTGTTGCTCTCCTGAAGCACTTTCAAGCAGGTCAGCAGGGAGAGCTCTCTCCTCAGCCCCGCAATGGTAACAGGCGCAGCAGACAGGACGAGGCCCAGGGGCCAGAACGTAATTATTGCACTGAGAGGCCAGGTTGTTTCCAAAGGGCACAGTGATTTGGCCGAGGTCACCCCAGCTCCAGGGAAAAAGGCATCATCCAGCTCTTCTGCTGCTAATACAGCCATTTTTGTCTGATGAAGACATGCAGACCAATCAATAAGCTTGAATACAAGTTAAAACAGCAAAATTAAGTTTGACCCTACAGAATAGGATACCTTAAAGGATAAGACAATATTTGGAACATTTGCCCATTTGATCAATATAAAAAGAAGTGAGTTCACTTTACAGCTGTTACACTGCTACCCTGCAGCAGCAGCTATACAAGCCTGGAGTCAGTCTTCTGCTCTTCAACTTGAGAAGAGTTTTCTGTAGACCGGACTCTTAACATTTCTGTATGGTTACTTGACAGAGGTAGATTCTATCCCACCTCCCTAAAAAGGCCAACTTGCTCAATTCAGTGCTTTTCCTTATCAATGTACTTACTTTCCATCTCCTCCAGCTGTGCTTTATAACATTAGCAGCCCTGCGCATCCTTTGGAAGCGATTCTTGGCTAACCAGGAACGAATAGCTGAAAATTTAATCAAAGGAAATGTAAGTACAAAGAATTTCGGAAGCTGTCACACATAATGTAAGGGATGGCACTTAAACTTTCTCTGTGTCTGACTTAAATTCTCTGCTGCCATTTTAAACAGCTAGTGTAACTAGTAATGTTCCTTGTTGCATCATGCTTAGCTGCACCCTAGCAAATTACCTGCTTGGATGACAGTTGCAGACCATCTCTCCTTTGCTAACTTCTTCTGTTTAAATCTTCTCCAGCAACACTGAATGCAAAATGCTTTCTCATTTAACACATGTACTCTTCTAGCTTCAAGTTGCTCTAGCTGCATTGGGGATACAAGCCTGCAGTTAATACTTTGGGATACAGTTATGTTCATCTTTTACCATAATTTGGTGTTTCTCAAAAAGCCATATAAGTAGCAACCATTAGTGCATATGTATTGAAGTTTAAAGACTACTGTTTTAGAAGTGAGAGCACTGCTTCAATGTTTATTAGCCAACATCTAAAATTAAAACGAAAGCATAATCATCTGTGCCCAAACTCCCCATTACACAAGTATGCTTCAGAAGTCTTAGCAAGGAAATGCCATTCTTACCACAGAGTTAGTCATAAATACTTTAGTTTTGCCACAGTACACTGAAGAGTTTTCTGATCCGTTCCCTGTAGGCTTACTAGTAGTTTGGTCCATAACCACTTTCTGAAGAATGTCATAAATGACAGAACATAATGGTTTGTCCTCACGCATCTCTGGAGTCTCACCTGCAAATGAGGCATTGAAGAGAAGATATTGCAGAACTTAGAAATTAGTTCCCAATAACTGTCCTAGTGTGGAGACTTCTTGGCCGTTTAGGGAGCATATACCTATGGGCAGGGGAGGAGGTGGTGGCTGATACAGACAAACGGAGGGCTCAACTGTTCTTGCATTGTTAAGTGTCCTACATGGGAACATTAGAAAGCAACAGTAGGGCAATTAAGAATACATGTGAGCTGCTCAGTCCTAAGGAAGTCTAATCAAATACCCCAAACTCAAAGCTATTGGGAATAAAGAACAAAAACGAAAACGTAAAGGAATTAGACTCATAGCTTTAGTATACTGTAAAATACAAGAATAGAAAAGGAAGGAATGCAGCTACAGTTCCAAAGCTTTCACAGAGTGCCAGAAGCAGCTAAAGGAATCGGAGATATGTATCAAGCGGGAGCTTACTATAGCAACCAGAAGTTATTAAAACCACTTCTGGGATATAGTATGCACATTTGTGTGTGTGTTAAGAGACAAGCAGGTTAGACACATAAACCTACTTGGAAATAGAAGTAGACACAATTCAGACCTGTCCTTCAAAGAGATTGTGGTGTTCAAGGCATTGCTGCATGAATATTCTGCATGCCCAGTACAGGAACTTGCTGAGCTTTGTATCTCTCCATCCTTGATACTGTTTGCTTTTCTGCTATAAGGAGTTCTAAGGAGATGAGAGTGTTTTAAGGTACTGAAAACAATTATAAACAATTCTTGCTTACACAAAAACAACTGGTGACTGTAACACTGTTCATGGGGCTGATACTGGGAACCAAAAGCTTATCCCCATGCATAGGCAACTGTTTTGTATATTTGCAGCTTACTACTTGAAAGAAAGGACTAGTGACTTATCATAAAGAGTGACAGGTTTCAGCTAATGGGTGGGTGAAATGCCCAGCTGATGGGTGTTTCAGCTAAGGAGGGAGAAAGATGGTGGGAAACTAATCTTCCAGTCTGTGCTTTCTTATATCATCCCACTCTCCTGATTCAAAGTAGTGAGCAAGTAAGAGTGCCTCAAGGTGAAGAGATTTCCTGCCATTTTACATATCTGAAATAGGCTGGTAGTCATTTCCCATACTTCCAGGTTACTCAACAAACCTATTAGGTGAAGATGGGATTAATTTAGGGAAGGCAAGGGAAGTTGCATTAACTCTCAGTATTAAATGTAAACAATCAAGTTCCTCCTTTCAGGTGTTCATGCCAAAGATGTTACCTTGTAGACTGCATTACATCTTTTAATCCATCTTTGCTCTTGCTTTGGAAAAAGAATCTCATACAGAAGTTTGCAACAGGTTAAAGAAGCAGAAGAATAGCAGGAGAATCCGAGTAAGCTAGGTCAGTGTGTTTGGCAAGAAAACAAGGTGAAAGGAAAAAGAAAGGAGAAGAAACATAAGCAAACAAAAAAGGTAAGTGCTTTTCAAGTTTACTTAGAAACCAACTCTAAATTAAATTGGTCCCTAAAGGGGGGGTGGACCCCAAACACCACTATAACTGTAATTGTTTTACCCACCATGAACAGAAAAACAGTGCAATGAGACTGGCAGACTTTCACTGTTAAAGGAGCCTACTCTAAGCACTAGGCAACTGAGGAACTGAAGTTGGTGACAGCTTATAAAAATACCTTAATCTTGAGATTAATGGTTTCTGTATTGCTGAATTCAGTAATTGCATCTATCTATATGATATCAAGTTGGTGCAGTGATATATTTTACTTTATAGCAGAGGGACTATGAAAAGAAACATACCTTTTCTCTTGGCAGTATGATGGCTGTTTTTATCCCATATACTGTTTTTATTGGACCCACGTAACTTTCTCAGTATTTCATAGCGCTCGAGGAAACTTTGGAAGGAGACCCTGATAGCCAAAAGTACAGTTAATTCTAGGCAAGTACCATTTATTTACCATGTAGTAAATAACTTATCCTTTGAGGGAAGATTGCAAAGTGGCTTTAAAAATACAGCATATGGAATGCAAACAGACTAATGCCAAAGTAGTCACCAACATGCAAGAAACTATAAATGTGCTAAAGAAAATCAGTTATTGCCTAATAACAGGCAGTTAATTTTGCCTATAGCAAAGACTCTGCAAGAATCTTGGTCTTGGTGAAATTTTACGGTCTGAATATATAGCAAAATGACTTGGTATTGATTCTGAATAGTTAATACCACAGTAATTACCATAGAGTTTAATTATGTAAGTCACTGCTGTAGAAATTTGGACTTACCTAATAGGGAAGCCAGCTGCACTGATGGAGATGGCTTCTACTATCCCACATGCCTGAAGCTGGCTGAGAACCTGAGACATAAATTGAGGTGATTTAGGCAAACACTGTCTTGAAAAGAACTCTGTGAATCAAGATCATACACAAGACCAAATGCAACCCCCTACATAATATGTACAGAAAGTCTCCCAGTGAGGAAAGTCTTTTGGAGAGTTACCTCTTCTCCTTTGAAAGTCATTGCCTTGCAGTCAGCATTAGGCTTAATGCATCTGATATAATGAGGTGTAGTGCTGTTCAAGATTTGCATCAGATGTTCAAGGGATCCCTGTAGAAAACAAATATGATGTAATTAGTGATTCCTTCTCTGCAGATAGATCTGTGGTCTTTTTGCAAGGATGATTTTACAGACTCCATATTAGCTGTTTTTTTAGGGATGGCTATAGTGAATTTCCCTTCTATGGAAGCTTTTTTTAAGATGACACCATGAGCAACAGGCAGTAAGAAGCCTAACAGAGCCATATGCCCAACTAATAGAGGAAATAGTAAGAAACTGAGTGGATTAAAATGTTAGTCCTAGAGAATCAAAGGAGTCCAGAGTTATTTCAGTTTTATAGCTGTCTCATTTAGTAACATTTATCCTGATCTTGGTTGTTTGTTAAAGAGTTTAGTCCCCTAAACTGTTTTCTCACCCAGTTAGGAAGACAGCAGGAGAAAGCATAGGACACACCTTGAACTTTGACACCACTGTAACAACAGCTGCCCTGTTCTGGGTAGTGATGTTATTTTGGTTCCTTTCTATCACAGGAAATAATTTTTGAAGCAAAGGGTCCTGTGAGTTCTGCAAAACATGGACCACCTCTGGTGGAACAGGGTCCTACAAACAAAAGCATGACTCATTAGTATATGGACTTAGGCAGAAAACTGTGACCTTTGAAGGTTAATAAATACTCCATGCATGGATTAAATAACAATTATTTCAGACATTACTTCTGATGTCAGTTTTGACTTAACTGCAGCTGCAGATTCAAATCTGAAGAGAAAACAGGCTTTGGCCAAACATTGACCAAGTCCAGTTAAATGTACGACTGCTACTGACATTTTTCTCATTCCACAATTTAAATGAGTTAGAAGTCTGTGGAATCTTTACCTCTGATAGTCTGCAGCAGATATCAGAAAGTTTTCTTTTTAATTAGGAGATTATATTTCATTGCATCATCAGAAAACCATTTGCCGTAACTACTGGTAAGGTCAGAACTGAAAAGGGATCCTCTTACTTGCGGACGATCACATTTATTATTATCACGTTGTGCCCAATGGGGATATTTTTTTAAAAATCAACACATTCTAAAGAATACCTACCTTATTTTTCTCCACCATTGTTGCCAGCTGATAGCAGACTTTGCCAGCATAATGTGAAATAATAAAATTAGGCTTCTTACTAAACTTGTTTCGACTTAAACATTGGTTATTAGACAAGGCTTTTTCAATCCGAGTTTGAAACAAGTCAGTATTAGAGGATCTGTTCAGACGACACTCCTGCACAACAAACAAGGGAAAACATGCAGCATTTGCTATTTGCCATAAACAGCTGCCTTTAATAATTAACATATGAAACATTTTTACTTAAAATCATAGCCATTCTACTTTTCTAATTGCTTTTGATATGCAGCCTTTCAAATTCTATGAGAAAGCTATTTCTTTTAATCAATTTGCTGTTATGAAAAATAAGCTCTGCGTAAGTTTTATTAGTTGGCAATTTTGTGCTAGTTTAATGCTAATGTTTTCTTTGGTGCCCTGGGAAAGAAAGAGGTGACTAAGTTAGAAGCATTAAGAGTTTAGATCCACACTTACCTCATTCAGCAAAGAAAAGATGCTGAGAGGACTGCCCTCTATCAGATCAAGGCAGTTCTGGTTGTCCTGGTAGTTTATGAAAGACCATTCTAGACCTTCAGCTGCATATTCCTCCTGAAGCAAGAGAAAAACCGGACATGGGGCGGCAGAGGGCACTATAGCTCAAATAACTCTCTGCCTTTTCTGCCCGTAGACACAGTTACTGTTCAGCGGGTTAATCCCAGGATTCAGCCTACTCATCCGAAACTCAGCTCATACTCAATGAGGACACTCTGCCCCAAGCAGCCTTTAGAGAAGTACTACCAGATCCTTCTGGAACAATTTAAGTACTTAGGAAACTCACAGACTCTGCTTTACAGAATAAACACTCTGCAGCCATGCTGAGCCTCCTCTGGTTGCACTGGGTTTCCCTTGAGGGGCAAGGAACACACAGGATTTGTTTCTTAGATTAAGGCATAGCCCTAAACTGTTATGTACCAAGCCCTAGTAACTAAGTGCTGTTGACAACAAAGTCTGATCAAAAAAAAATGGAGGAAAGAAAGATATTGACTGAAATAATTTACACAATATTTATGCTGAATTACAGAACAAACTGTCAGGAGTGTTTAAGCAGGTACAAGCTCTAGTTAGTTAAAGTCTCCTGCCAAAAGCTTGCTCAGTACAGCTACTAATGGCATTTAAGTGGTTTGGCACATACCCAAATAAAGAGAAGTTAGAGGGCAGGCAGTAATTGGGAGGGATACTGTAAACAGAGGTCATGAATCAGTTTCAAAGAAAGTAACTGTGTGTTTGAACTTGGTTTCCATCCTCACTGACCACTAACCTCAGTGTACTTAGGAGGACGGTCAGAAGGAAGGTTGGGCATATGAAAGAATAAATTATGGCCAAAGTGATACTTATCTCCTGAATAAATTCATACAACTATGCTGGGAGGCAGGGTGCCATAAAGAAAAGAGTTATCTCAGATTGCCATTAACTGGAAAGAGCATTATGGTAACACATGCATAATGTAATACAGGACTCAACTACCTCTATCAGACTGGCAGTCCAGGCCTGACAGGGATTTTGTAGCTTTCAGAGCACTTCTGCTGATACAGATACATACAGCAAAAAGGACTATTCAGAAAACTGCAATTAGGAGCATGTAACCAACTAGGCAAGTTACTGCAACATATTTAGCATTGTGCAAAGTACTTTCTGCCCTATGAAACGTGTCTCTTATCTCCTCATGCAGGAATGTTTCTGTCTTCAAAGGTACTGGCACAGCAACCAGGCTTACACAGCTGTTCTCTGGTGGCAGAAGGCCTTCACAAGGTAATGCCTTCTATTTATATACGGGTTACAAGGCAGCTTCCACGAGAATCACGGTTTAGGCTGTACTTGCCTCAAATATGCCTCGTTTAGTTTTTATGTGTTTGACTCTTTGAGGTAATCCAAACAATTCAGCAGGTCACAGAGTCAGTAGTTCTATAACGGGGAAGATTTCTAGTACCGTAGAAGTTAACTGCCTTACCACCTGCCCCCCCAAACTCTATTCTTCAAACAAGCAATTTTTACTCATATCCCACTATTTTTTGTGGCATTCATTGCTTGAGTGAGGGCTAATATCTGACCAGAAGCATACAAATAATGAGACAAAAGACTCTGTTTTAAAATTAGATGTTTAACATTTGATCTTAGTGGAATATTACCTGTTGTGCCTTCAGATAGTGTGCTACAAAGTGCTGCTGTAGTTTCTCATTGGCATAATTAATACAAAGTTGTTCCAAGTTGTTTTCAGGGAAAGATTCAAAACCATAAACATCCAGCAAACCTAGGAGAAATAAGAGAAGATAATGCACTTCAGGCTAGGGGTAGCTTGAAGGACTTAGGTTTTCTCAGACCAGGGATGAATAACCATACCTATGAAGTTGGTCCACACCGACGGACCTGCATAGATGCTTTCATTTATGACCAGAACAAGCCATTCAAACAATCTGTGGACAAAAACAATTGGATTAGTTGAAAAAAGTCCTCACTTAGAGTGAACACAGTAGTGCTTCTTTACTACTGCTTTTACCAGTGTTTAATGGAAGAAACAGAGCTGGCTGACGTGGAACGGCTCTCCACAGCTCTCCCACATACTGCAGCTACGCTAGTATCCGTGACTGAATCAAGGGCGTATGGAGAAAAGAGCAGGCACTTAGACTATTACTGGGCCGAGCAAACGCCAGGAAAAGAAAATTCCCCTGGCTTTACCATTACCTCACAAAAGTTATACAGATTAGCACAGCAGTTCTTACTTAGCATAGACCACTTTGGCCAGGCAGTCCCTCCTAGTCTCACACTCAGCTCTGGAGCAAGGCTTCTTGAAGACCTGCTGTTGTTTTCCAGCAGTTATTGTTCGAATTCTTAATGCCTCTAGAAGCTCCTCCATGGGTATCTTCAGTAGATCTCCAGTACTCTTCACAAATTCTTAAGGCAGAAAAAAAAGCGGCAAGATTATCTGAAAGTGTCAAATAAATGCAGCCTCTTTACAGTTTTGGGAGATCTAGAGATAATACCCCCAAAAAAGTGACCTCCACGAAGTAACCAACTTAAATGTGGGGTAGTGGATATTTTTACCCAAACTTGGGAAAAAAGTTTGCAAGAACAGTCTCTTTTTTGTATGGTACCCTGATGACTGTGGGTTCTGTACTTAAAATGGATCAACAGTATCAAAAAAGTCTAGAATTTGGCACACTGACAAACATACACACACTGAGAACACAAAACAGTGATGACCAGAAAAAAAAAAGGGTATTTGTGGGACAGTAAAGGAATGTAATCGCTTCATAAGAAAAATAAATATTTGCTAATAAAGCATTTTAAGATCTTGTTAACATGAGCTTTACTCAAAACTGTTTGAATATTGGATAACATGAGTTCAGAGCATATATAATAGTACTCATTACTGTAATAGTTATTTGTTAGACCAGTGGTTTAGCTCTGAAGGAAAATTAGAGCTACATACCTCCTAAAGATGTACAAAACAACACTAACTTCTATGCTACAATATAACAGACTTGCTATGATTAAGTGGAATTTTAGTATTTAGCAGGAAAACTTCTGAGCCTTAATTTTAAAAGCCCTGTTCTCCACTCCAGGTCATATTTCTGGACGTCTTGTGATGTCAGTGTAAGGTTACAATCAAGAGTAACAGCTCCACTGATAATCCACTTTGAACTGTCTAACACAGGAGTTTCCTTGATCTGTAATGAAAAGGTATTCCCTCGCAGAGCAGAAGAGCCTGAAGTTTGTGTAATATGCAGAAACCATGAAGTATTCAACAAAAACACACAAATTTTGCTCTGCCTGTGACCCTGATAATCTCCTATCAAGTAGAAGTGTGTAGTAAATCTTTCCTTTTGGGCAATTTGCACTGAGATAACACTGGATCTTGGCATACTCGGTGCCTCACCTTTGGCTTTGTCTTGTACTTCACAAGGCTGAGATTCATCCAGTGAATTAGAGAACTGAATGTTCCCAAGATGGAGAAGGCCTGACAATACCTGGAATACACAAAATCAGTGAGTTTTCTAGAACGGAGATTGCCGTCAAGTCCGTCATTTAGGTTTCCCCTTTTTACATGGACAGGACAAGTGGAAAAAAAAAAACTACAGGGAAAACAGAAGTAGATTTCAAGCTTCTAGGTTAATTCCTAATCCTGCATAACAGTTCACAGCTGCTGACTTAGTTAAAAACTAGTATTTGGTTAGCAATCTAATGTGTAGCTGCAGGTCCTCAAATGAGCATTGCTGTGTTTGATATCAAATGACCCACGTTCTATATACTTATATGGATTTAGTGATGCAGAAATCCCACATTAAAAGATATCCCAAACATCACCAGCAGCCTCATGGTGCTTGTGCTGCGTTGTACCTGACCTTGAAAATATTGTTCTGCGTGGAGTGATCAATGCCCAAGTGAAACATTGCATCTCTGGTCACCTCGAAGCAGTCCTCTGAAAAGCCAAACAGGTGTTATTTAAAAGAAAGCCATGCACAAAATCACCGGCATGCAGAACACCACACCACATTATTCTAATAATTAGAATTATCGAAAGAGACTGAGGTAACTGCCACATCTGGTTTACCTAGAATTATCGAAAGAGACTGAGGTAACCAGATGGTTTTCTGGTAAATTCCAGAGTACAAGTCACTAACTGCTGACTCTGAGGGTTTCAGAGTTTAAGCAGCAGATAGCTGAAGCACAGCCAAAGTTGAGACAGCTTCTGAGCACAGCCACAGGGAGATGCAAATGCTTTAGGCCAACAACTGCTATTTTAAGTCAGGTGAAAACTCTTAATAGCACAAAATGAAACTTCTACAGAATTAGATTCATGCTCTGCAAAATGTCTGCTGTGGCAACACCAGGTGTCAGTTGGCCAACCAAACTGAGTAATGGGATTTAATGTGGAACACACATTTCTGCCTGCCTCCCCTCTGAAGTTACAGCCGTTATTAGTGGACAATCTGTGAGCCTAATTTTTACCATCTAAGTCTTTCTCAGAATTTGGCAGCCAGTGGTAGTGAGCTCCTTTGGGAAGTTTCCACTCCAACCTCTCTTCTTCAGTGGCACCTTTTGTGATCTGGAGACAGGAAGAAAACAAGGTAACGTCTGAATTCTGCCTCTGGCATTTATATCTCACAGAGGATGAAAAATAGCACGCTGTGAGCACGACTTGATTTGAAAGCATGGCAGAACGTAAATAAACAGGAGAACTGTTAAATATTTGAAGGCGCAACTCTGCTAAATTAGGTAATTTCATTTGCACTGTTTGTCAGAAATGTATAGAAAAACTGACACAAACCTGGTAAAAAATATGGAAGTTTCTTTCACTGGGTGCCTGATAGGCAACTCTGGTCTTCTCCAAGAGGAATGTCTGAATGGAAGCACTACTCAGATGGTGGAATCTAAAGAAAAAGAAGATCAATATTTTCTCAGAAAATCTGATTTTAGATATCAGGCTAAGTGCTGGTAGGAAAAAAAAGGCAGTAATATAACTGGAAGTAATGAATGCCTGCCAGCAAGCCAGTCTGTTTTAAAGATACTTCATGCACAAAATATTCTATGGCAGATTTTAGAAATAGTTTTTTAAAGATTTAAAGAAAACAAACAGATAAGCATACTACGCAGTTGTTATTACCTGTCTAACTGAAGCTGGATATATTTTCCAAAACGACTACTGTTGCTATTCCGCAGGGTACATGCATTTCCTGTGAAATTACCAGTGACAGATACAGCATGATCAGAGTGATTTTACTCTTCCATGTAGGATATACAGACATTAAGGATGATTTGTATATTGCTCCAGTATTTGAAGAGTTTGTCTTTTAAGGAGAGGAACAAGAGACAGCTTAGACTTATGCATTAACAAAGACAATTCCTACAGTGGCGATTACTTCTCTTTGCTGTTAAAGAGCCACATATACCAAATGCTTCCATGACAGGGTTGGAATCCAAAACTCTCTTCTCTATCCTTTCCACAGTTTCATTGTCTTTGGGGGAAGTAACTGAAGCAGCAACGGTAGCATAAAATTTCATAAGGCAGCGAGATGTCCAGGTCTGCAAGAGAGGGACTCGACAATAGGCAATTTGTTTTTACCACGTTATTAGTTATATTAGTGTGTAAGAGAGTGCTGGCTTCCAAGAAAAACACAGTATGCAGCTGGCAGTGATGCTAAAGAGAGTAATTGTATCAGGTTTACAGCGCCAGTTTAGCAGAAATTTTTTATGCATATGCTTATGTGCAACATTTAAATGCCATTGGAATATGAGTACTTTACTGAATGACATCTTTATCCAGATAACCATCTGGAAGCCCAGCTAGAAGTAACAGTTAGTATCTTAAGATGAATTGAATATAAATGGACTTTGCACCATTAACACTCAGCAAATCATTCTGTTCTCAGGCATAAAAATATCCTTAAGTATTTTGCTGAATAGGATCATTACAAAAGGGCCTCAGATTGGACTTGAATTCCCCCATCTCTTGTGGGTGTTTTACGTAGCATTTGCTGAGACTCACACTTGCTCCTTAATGGACTGAGACTGAGTAGCAGAGACTCATTCAGCTACAGTATCTGTTGAATGATTTGCATCTTGCCTTCGTAGATGTTCCAGATGTGGCCTAGAGAGTTGTTATACTAAGTATAATCTATTTGATTGCAAAAGACACTTAGTGCTTTGCACATGTTTCAATAGAGCCTTGCTATAGTACACTGATTATATGCTCTATCAGGGATTTTTTTTTCTAGCTCACTGAAATACTTTGCACCACTAAATCTCAAAACATAAAAGCAATGTCAGGAAAAATAAACAGAAAAATAAAATCTCCTTACCTTCCCAGCACCACTTTCTCCACTAACAATTATAGACTGGTTTACGAGGTCTAGCTGGCTTTGGACATTTCTGTAGGTTTGCTCAGCCACTGCAAATATGTGAGGTTTTAAATCCTGGCAGTAAGACAGAAGATATTTAAGAGACCAGTAATGACACAGTTCAACAGCAATGGAGAGCAAAGGTCCTCCCACATCTATCTGAATACTGCTTCTTTAGTAGTACTGTTATTTCACTAGAAATGGGTTTTATTCTTTAGGATTTTCTTTTTGAAGAAGAACTTGACCTTCCCCGAGTTCTGCAGATGGACAGCTATTTCATATACCAAGGATTACCTGAGGGCGAGGTGCGACGTGATACTCTCTCATAAGTTCAGGTGAATAGAGGCAGGAGATGGACTGAAATGGATTTAAAGCCACAAGGCTGCAGCCAGCATTTGTATAAAATGAGTTTACTGCATATCTTGCTTGAAGACATTTCAAAACTGAAACATAAACTTTGTTAGCAAATTTCGAAAAATACACATCTCATTTCTCACAAAAACAAAAAACTCCAGATATGCTACCTATTAGGTTTAATAGAGAATGAGAAGCTGAGCAAATAAGTGATATATGTCTCAAAAACAGATTAAAGCATCTTTAATGGATTGCTTTAAAAAGAGGCATTTGTTAATAATTTAATTCGATGAATCTTGTGCTTCTAAAAGGTTTTACGTGGTCAGTTCTAGAAAGTAAATCTGTTCTTCTGCAGAAAAGACAAAGGCAAGAATTCCCCATAAGTAGGATCTGCTTGTTTTACCAAAACCATCTTTAAAAAGTAAAGTGAGAAATTCACATTTCAAGACCAATTTCATGGACATATTTTGATCCAAGTCAGAGCCTCATTTTCTGAGCAGGCTGAGACATCTAGAAATAAGATATGTTCATATAAAATTGAACTGTAATTACAAGGTCACACATGAGCCTTTCAGTAACACTGACTCTTAGCCACCCCCTGGTTGTCTGGACTAATAATACAAACATGGGTTCTGCATGCAGAGCTTGCTGAGAGATAAGTACAGTTAAATCTACAATAAAAGTGCTAAAAGTGATAAAAAGAATCAATCAAGCACAAATTTCTAAGGACTTTAATGGGCTTTGAGTCTTTAATTACTGTGTTCAGGATAGTATAAATGTGATGAGAACAGCAACTACCATACATTGATGGCCACTGGGGAAAGGGACACCTTGTGAGATGCCTGTGCTGCTGTAGGCTTACCTGTTGTAGTTGTCACCGGATTAACTTTTGTTAGGTCATCAAAAAGATGTAGTTTTTCTTCATCACTGAAAAGGGCTCTAACTTCTTCAAAAGAGCCACTGAGGTCACCATGCATGACGGAGTCATCTTTTTGGCCGTTTACCTAGAAGGGACAAGACAGATTAACATCAATCAAAAGCTGGGTACAGTTGGACTTTCATCTTGTCAGCTGTAGTTCACAGCTCTTCTTCCTCTTCTGAATAACAGCAGTGCAGT